CAGCGAGGTTGGGTTGCTCCCCAGGGCTCCTGGAGGCTGGAAGGGACTGCAGAGCCGAGTTCCAAACACAACTCAATCCATATCACATTTTCCTGGTGCTTGGGGAGATATACTTCAGATGGAATGAGAAGGCATTTTGATTTTCCTCCTTGCTGTCCTCACCGAACTGTTACCAAATTTCAAATCCTAGGAAGAGCCGTTTACTACCCTGTAAGTGGTCCTTTCCACACTTGGATTTCATCCCTGGTTTTATCAGAGTTCGTCTCGCGACACAATACCTTGCATTTATCCCTGGTTATAACAGCATCCATTTATCCCGGGACGTGGGCACTGTTAGTGTGAGCTAGCTCACAGTTTTTTAGCTTCCGGCTCACACATTTTTGTCTTCGCTCAGGAAGGGGTGGCTCCAGAGCAAACTAATTTATACAGTAGCCAAATCACTCGCTCACAACTTTAATGCCAGGAGCTCACAAAGTAGAATTTTTGCTCACAAGACTCCACAGCTTAGAGGGAACATTGGACGTGGGGCAAAACTGTGGTGTCCTCAATGTAATGTGGAAACTCGAGTGTAGTGTAGAATGTAAGTTCAGGAACAGGATTGAACCAGGATTTAAAGTCTAGTGCGGAATCACATCACCTGAGGAGAGGGCAAAGTCCGGTTCTGGCACTAAAAAGGCCAACCCCATACACAAGTACACGAGGCCTTTCAGAAGAAAAAATAGGTTCCTACAGGTAAACACAGAACAGGAGAGGTACATTTACAGGATATGCTTAAGAATACTTTTTTTTTTGGTGGGGGGAGGTACCATCCCCAAAGATTATTTAGCAGTGTAGAAGGAGTCTTTAAAAAAATAGGTGAGTATTTGTATGTGTGCGCGTGCACATGCGTTTGTGCATGCCTGGAAGTCATGGTTGACTTCTGGCGACCCCTGGTGTGGCTTGGATGTTTCAGAGAGGTGGCATGCTATTGCCTGCCTTTGCATCCCAGCCCTGGTATTCCTTGGAGGTCTCCCATCCAAGTACTTGCCAGGGCCGGCCCCGCTTAGCTTCTGAGATCTGATGAAACTGGGCTTGTCTGTGCTGGTAGAAGGAGTCTTGAAAGAATAGCAGGGAGCCCTATTTTGTGGCAAAAGGTTTTGTGGACTAAAGCCTGCTGGCATGGTGTATCCTCATTTGGCCCACACACATACATCAGCATAGGAATTAAAACTGTAAACTGAGGGATCAAAAAAGGCAATGTGATCCAAGGCACAGTTGGCTCTAGTCCATGAAAGCTTATGCCACGATAAATCTGTTAATCTTAAAACTGCCAATGAGTTTCCTTCTTAAAATGTATTTTGCTGTAATAAGCTAATACAGTGATCCTTCTGCTACACAGAGCGAGCCCAGTTTAACTGCTAGACAGGAGAGGGGATGGAATAATAAAGGAAGAGGGCCCCACAGAATGGAAAACAGATGCCCATGCCCAAGAGGAATACAAGTTAAGGGAACAATTGATCTGGATATTGCGCTACTATCAGGTTTCAGCAATTATTTGCCATTGGATTATCATGTGTGGACAAATCAACCCAGTTGCAATGACTGCTACAGTGCAACATCCCACAGTGTGTAGAAGCAAGCGATGGATGGCTAAGAAAGTGCCGAAGGGTGGGAGGCTGGGGTGATAGTAGACGGGGCCAGACAAGTTGAGCCAGTGTAGCGCTAACAGTGAGAGTGCCTGCCTATGGCTGGAGAGTCCCAGAGTTCAAATCCCTGCTCCTTGTGTAGGACAAGGGGAAAAGAATGTGATTTCTGAGTGTGACTTCTGACTCTCTCTTTGATATATATATATATTGACAGCTGTCACTGTACCTTTAAAAGCTGCATCATAATAGATTCAGATCTTGGTATATAACCTAGAATCTTCTGATTAGAGAAACTTTTAGCAGAACATATATATTTTATAATTGCATTTTTTGTATAAGAAGCCTTTGTAGATGGAATTAGGAGTTGCAAGGACGCCAAGAGCCAAGTTTAATGTGAATCGTAGTCCTTATCAGCTAGCTCTCCATAAGCAAGGCCAGAAAGGGTCCCAGTGTTCTCTAATGTTCCCATTGTTCTGAAGACCAGATAAGCAAATGCAATCACTGGCATACATGACCGGTATCATGGGAGACCAATAGTAAGTTTTATAGTCAAATGATGCTTTTATGATGTTAACTGCTTGGTATCAATTAAAGGTTCGTGAATGTGTAAATTATATGTGATGTCATTGGGGGTATAAGACCTTCTGCCCTTCCTGGTTAAGGCAGAATAGAGCTTGGTGTTGCTAAGTGCTGTAAGGTACTCAGCCCTGTATTTCCTGTTTTAATTGCAATAAACAGATACTCATCTAACTCGTTGGACTCCAACTGTGTGATTCCAATTCGGCCAAGGGCACAGATTTGTGCATCACTTGGACCAGTCCCTCTCCCTCAGTGTAACCAATCTCACAGGGTGGTTGTGAGAATATAATGAAGGCAGACTGAACCATGTGTGCCACCCTGTGCCACTGTGGGGGCCGGGGGGGGATTAAAATGTGATGGGTTTCTTTACTGTAATATTTCTAGCCCCCCCCCTTTCAACATAAAATCTCGCTCTTGAGGTGGCTTGCAAACATAGCCCAAAATATTGAAACCACGTCCTGACCAGTGTTCCCTCTAAGCTGAGTTAGTGTGAGCTAGCTCACAGTTTTTCAGCCTCCGGCTCACACATTTTTGCCTTCGCTCAGGAAGGACGGCTCCAGAGCAAACTAATTTATGCAGCAGCCCAATCGATCGCTCACAACTTTCATGCCAGTAGCTCACAAAGTAGAATTTTTGCTCACAAGGCTCCACAGCTTAGAGGGAACATTGGTCCTGACTAGAGTTAGTAACTTTTTCCCCACCATAGAGAACAATGGAGGGGATAGGGGCAACCTGTTTGAGGGCCTGTAGAATTGGACCCCCTGGTCAAATGCTCTTCAGACTTGGTTGGTATCTTGGGGAGAGGCTCCAGCAGCTACCCTGCGAGTTTGGATGATATAACGGGGCCATAATTGACATTTGGCTGGCCCTTTTTCAGCCCTGGCGTTCAGCGGGGAGCCTGTAAAGGGGTGGGGACTGTGCAGGCTGTTTTTCAGGCCCGGTGCTCTGGCACGGAGCCTGAAAAATGCGGTCATAACGTTTTAAAGAGCCCCTCCCGAGATCTGGGGGAGCCAGAATGACCTCTGACATATGATGTCTCGTGTGTGACATCATACGCAAGAGGTGGAATTTGCCCCTACGAGTCCAAGGCCACCACCCCATTCTGTAACATTAAAACCATGCAACATATCTATATATCTCATAGCCAAGTTGTCCCCTCCGTGCAGATATCTAAATCCACATGTCGGGGGCACTTGGGGGGCAGGGAGATTTTCCTGCATACTTGGGGCAGCCCCTAGGTGTGCAGAAAAATCTAAAAAGTTTTAAAAACTGTACGGGGGATATTTAAATCCCAAAAAAGTAAGAGTGTTCCCTACGCATGCACAGAGAACGCTCTGGGAACTTTGCAGCGGCCGGTGGCTGGGAGGCGCTCTGGCCTCACCGCCGGTGCCAACAAGGGGGAGGGAAGATCTGGGGGGAATCGGTGGGCCTGATGGCTGGGAGGCACTCAGTCCTTGCCACCAGTGCCCGTGGGGAGAGGGGAGGGAAAATTGGCGGTGGCGGGGAATCAGCAGGCCCGATGACTGGGAGGCACTCAGGCCTCGCCGCCAGTGCCCGTGGGTGGGGGAGGGAAAATCAGTGGCGAGGGGGGGAATCTGCAGGCCCGGCAGCTTGGAGGCACTCAGGCCTCGCTGAGGGGGGAGAAGGCTTACCTGTGGAGCTGCTTCCGCAGACCAGGAGCCTTTAGGAATATTCCCCCACCACCACCGCGAGTATTGCGGGTCCCGCTTCTTGTTATTCCCAAATTTTCTATTTCAGAGCACAGGCAGAAAATAATTGTAGAACAGAGTAAGAGTCCAGTAGCACCTTAAAGACTAACAGAATTTGTGGTCGGGTATGAGGTTTCATGAGTTCCTGCTCCGTCAAAAGTGTGCAGGGACTCATGAAAGTTCATACCCTACCACAAGTTTTGTTAATCTTTAAGGTGCTACCGGACTCTTACTCTGTTCTACTGCTACAGATCGACTAACGTGGCTACCCATCTTGATCTATCTCTTGGGAAAAATAATTGTGTGTGAATGATCCTCTGAGATCTCCCTGCTTCTGGGGAAAACTTCTAGTGCGTCAGGGAAGGTCCTACTCCCTCATAGGCTAGCTTTCGAAATATGGGGAATTTTTATAATGTTGTAATGCTCAACCCTGTGCAGCAGTCTGAAATGACACAACTTCTAAATGCTCTAACACAGGGGTGTCAGACATAAGGCCCGAGGGCCGGAACCAGCCCATCCAGGGCTCTTAGGCAGCCCGCGAGCAACCAGTGCGAGGGAGGGAACAGGAGACTGCTTGGAGAGGGGAGTGGGCAGAGCCACTCTGATTGTTGCTCCAGCATGGCAAAACAACTTCATCTGCAGCAGTCAAGCATGGCAAAACAACTTCATCTGCCCAGTGCTGCACCGCTGGCTCTCCAATCTGCCCATACAGGTTTTCCTCTGCACCTCCCCCCAGCCCATGGGGCTTTGGAGCTTACCAGCTGCTGTCCTTTATAATATCTCCGGTACCTGGCATTACATTTTATGGCACACATGGCCCAGCCAAGTGACCTTTATTGTCAGATCTGGCCCCCGTAACAAACAAGTTCGACACCCCTTCTCTAACAGGTGGTTTATCCGAATATACAGATTTGCTCTCAATGAACCTTCATGTGGAAGGATGCTATTCCATACTCTCATGACACATTGCATGGCTACTAGCAACTGAGCTACAATGGCATTTCCTTCTCCTCCCATCCCACATGCAGCATCTGCACACAAACATACCCTCAGCCAACAAATGATGGATTGTAGCTAGCACACATACCTCCACCTGCTGGCAGATCTGTATCAGTTTGGCCATCTGGTTTTCTAGTTCACTATTGCGCTTAACCAGGTTGTTGAGGTTCATCTCCAGTGTTTGCTGCCAGTACAGAAAGGAGAGGGGAGGGGGGGAAATCAAAATTAAAAATAAGCATCAATGAGCCATAGAAAGCAAATCAACTAACCAATGGTTCCCAGTGACTCTAATGCAGAGTATCAAAATCCTGGCAGGTCAGCAAGACGAAAGCAGCACCACCACACAGACCTATATTCTACAGCTGGACTCAATGAAATGAGTGGGTTTGCCCCCATTCTATAGAACAAAGGAAGGGAAAGCACGGATTCCCCACCCCCTCTAAAGTCATTCATAGTGTATTACATTTATGGATGGATGGATGGATGGATGGATGGATGGATAGCAAAAGCATATATTGCCTAAAAGCTCCATCCTCTCCTACTATTGGGTGAGTGGAAAAGATGTTAAGGAATGTTTAACATCCAAGGGGAAAGGGAAAGAAACTGAAGGTGGAAAGATGGCTGAAGGAAAAAGGACAGCACAGGAGTGTGACAGTAAAGAAAATGTGAACCTCGTACATAGAATCAGACCATTGTTTAGTATTGTCTTTTCTCACTGGCAGTGGTTCTTCTAGATCTCAGGTATCGTTCCCAACCTGGCTCGTTCGAATACTTTATTATTTATTTATTTAAAACATTTTAATGCCACCTTTTGACCAGTCAGGGTCCCCAAGGTTGCACATGTTAAATTAAAAACAACACCTAAAATTATAAAACAATTTAACAAAAACACATAAACTACACCAGAAGCAGGAAGGAGGGCCAAGAACTATTACTGGAGGTATGCCAACTAGAGGGGCTGGAAATTGCACTAGAAACTTGGGGAATGCAGAATACGTGCTCTACCCAGCGAGCCTTTTCAACTGGACATTAAAACGTTCCTGAATGTTACGTAACATCTAGGGGAGCCAAGAACTATTACTGGAGGTATGCCAACTAGAGGGGCTGGAAATTGCACTAGAAACTTGGGGAATGCAGAATATGTGCTCTACCCAGTGAGCCTTTTCAACTGGACATTAAAACGTTCCTGAATGTTACGTAACATCTAGGGGAGCCCTGAGCGTCTTAGGGAAAAAGGGCAGGATACAACTAGCAATGCTAGACAGAAAAGAAGGGCTTGAAGGACATGGAGCTGAGAATATGAAAACAAAGCTACCTCGTACTGAGTAACCTTACTGGTCCATCTAGCGCAGTATTGTCTGAATGGCAACAGGTATACTGGATCTCAAGGGGACAAAGTTCTCTCTCAGAATCTGAATTTCCCTAACTGGAGCTGCCAGAGATTTACTGCATATGCACTGCCGGTGCCAAATAAATAAATCCGGAGTCCTTGAAATGCACGGTCCATTATGAAGTGATTGTTGTTTCCAGGCCATGAGAGATTCTAGGGCTTCAATCAGGAATCTAAGAGACAGAACACACTAGCCTGGTGAGTAATAAAAGCTTATCAGAACTGGAGGACGGAGGAGAAAGATGGGCTGGTAAAAACTTCACACAAGGCCTAAGGGCAGGGAGGACCATGATGTGTTCAGAACTACAAGACAAGGACAGACAATGAAGATTTGGTGCCTAGGAGACAGTCAGACAGGCTAGTGCAGAAACCACAAGGAATGAGAAAGCAAAGCCATGTTTTTATTTCAGATTCTCTAACCAGGTAATCTTTGCCCGCTAGTCAGTTTGGTGTAGTGGTTGGTGTAGTGAGAGCCAGTTTGGTGTAGTGGTTAAGTGCGCGGACTCTAATCTGGGAGAACCGGGTTTGATTCCCCACTCCTCCACTTGCACCTGGCTGGACGACCTTGGGCAAGTCGTTGTTCTGATAAGAGCTGTCCTTGAAAAAGAGCAGTTTCTGTCAAGAGCTCTCTCAGCCCCACCTACCTCACAGGGTGTCTGTTGTGGGGAGGGGAAGGGAAAGGAGTTTGTAAGCCGCTCTGAGACACCTTTGGGTAGTGAAGCGCGGGGTATAAATCCAATCTCTACTTCTTCTTCTAGTCTACAGCGGTTGCTTGCTATAACTATCAAGGCCTTTTATCAGCATATGTTGGGTTGAATGTGTATATTAAACAATAGGGACAAATATAACCAATGTATGTGTTGTGGGGAGAGCGACTTCATGACAACATGTATTCTCTTTCACTTTGGTGTCCCTGGATTTACAACCAAAAATATTCAAAACCAAATCATAAATAGGAAGCTGTAAAACTGGGATTTGTTAGCAAAACTGATGATGCTTCCCATATCGAAATAAGGATTATGTGTGGCTCTATTGGTACACAAATATAATAATCTCCTATTTGCTGCTGCAGAGCTTGCTTAGCATTCATGCTTTGTTGCACCGGTAAATATTCAGATTATTCATTTTATTCCTGTTTGCCCCCCAGCTACCAGGATGTGGTTTTTGCGTCTCCGGTATCTCCGTCAGAGATTTATTGTACTCAGCGATAAAAAGAAAATAAATATATTCTGGGCCAAAGTAACCCATGCCTTTGGTTTTCACCTTGTTGACTTTGTTTATCTTCAACTGAACTTTCATCCGCCACTTATACAAGTCTGCATCGATAATATGAAGACGCTAACTAGCACCTGTGAAACTTCACATCACCATGCACCCGTTAGCTTCTTTATTTAAAAAACACCTGTAATATTATTCCAGTTTTAACACAAACATGTCAATCAATAAAAAAAGCATATTGAAACAGTTTAACATATCCATGTTCTCCATCCCTTCCCTTTCAGGCTTTGCAATTTCAATCTTCCACAAAAGTAACTCACTATTACCGATTCAGACCTTGTTAGGATTGCCAACCTCCAGGTGGGCCCTGGAGATCTCCTAGAATACAACTAATCTCCAGACTGTACAGAGACCAGTTCCCCTGCAGAAGATGGCTGTTTTGGATGGTGGACTGTACAGCACTATACCTCGCAAAGGCCCCTCTCCTTTCCAGACCCTGCCCTCTCCAGGTTCTACCCCCAAACCTCCAGGACTGGCAACCCTAGATGTTGTTGAATATAGGGCTCTAATTACAGGAGGCCGGAGGGGGTTTGACCCTACTGTCTCTAATGGTCTAACAGCCATAGGTTTCAAGAAGACACAGGGAGGCCAAGTTGGCGAAGAACCAGGAGGTGGGGACCATAAATTTCATTAAGGCTCCCTCCCCCTACTTTTTCTTCCACCATGCTAGTGTTAGTTGAATGTATGAAAGATACTCATTCATATCTCCCTACACATAACAAAAGAGAAAATTGTATCAGCAGAAGGCAGGAGTGAGAAAGAGAGAAGACAAAGGAAAACAAAAAGAGGAAAAACCCCACCAGATGGTCCTTAATATTTCCTCTTTTTATACATCTCCAAAGAACTGTTTCAAACAATAATAATTAATAATTATCATATGTCATTGTGTGTAAAATAGCCAGGAGATCCTAAGATTGTCTGGCAGCCAGACGTTCTAGCTCTTTTAGCATTATGCACCACTAGGTGGGGAGCTAGACTTGTTTATTTATTTATTTATTTTATTTCACTTATACCCCGCCCTCCTCGCAAGCGGGCTCAGGGCGGCTTACATAGGCCCAACTGTGCAATAAAATACAACAAGATTAGAACAGTTAAGGCACCAAGTGCAATAAAAATATGACAAGTTAAAACAAAACAAAAACTTTTTTTTTTAAGGCAAACGACATTTCAGAGCTGGTTCTCCATTGCCTGCCTCTGTGTCACGACCCTGGTATTCCTTGGAGGTCGCCCTTCCAAATACTAGCCCAGGCTGACCCTGCTTAGCTTCTGAGATCTAATGAGACTGAGTTAGCCTGGGCTATCCAGGTCAGGGCTTGTTTCAAAGAACTTTTTATTCACAGATATATTTGCATTAAAATAATATATGTCTTAAAAGATGGTTTTAAGCATCGTGACCTCATAAAATCCAACACATCGGGTATGTCCGAATCTTAGACTCATTCGTTCGCTCACAAATTTGCTCTGCTATTCTCATGAGTTGCCCCATACAGATATTTGAGCCAAAGGGAAACCAGCACCTCCCCAAGTTTTAAGAACATAAGAGAAGCCAATGTTGGATCAGGCCAATGGCCCATCTAGTCCAAAACTCTGTCACACAGTGGCCAAAAATACAGAGGTGCCCTCAGGAGGTCCAGCAGTGGGGCCAGGATACTAGAAGCCCTCCCACTGTTGCCCCCCCCAAGCACCAAGAATACAGTGCATCACCTGCCCTAGACTGAGAGTTCCTATCTATACCTTGTGGCTAATAGCCACCGATGGACCTCTGCTCCATATGCTTATCTAATTCTCTCTTGAAGCTGTCCATGCTTGTCGCCGCCACCACCTCATGTGGCAGTGAATTCCATGTGTTAATCACTCTTTGGGTGTACTTCCTTTTATCTGTTCTAACCTGACTGCTCAGCAATTTCATTGAGTGCCCACGAGTTTTCAAGCTAACGCTGCACAATCAGGGTCCCCTGCCCTAAAGGGCTCCATCAATGTACTAGGAGACCACAAAACAAAGCTGGATTGGCAATGGAATCCAGCTCCTCAGGAAAGAAGTAACCTATCTCAGGTGGATCTGAAAGGGGCAAGAAAGAATGAGCTGAATTATTGGTAGTGATTACGGACCAAAATCACACATGGATTGTGAATTTATAGAAAGACTGACATGAGATCAAGTTTCCAGCCCTACTAATCAATCAGCTCAGAAAGCTGGTATACGTGTGTTTAAAACTGCTGGTTTCCCATATGTTGTAAACATGGGATTAGAACTGCCTTTCTGCTTTTCACATTCACGTACAATATACACATTAAATTGCCCAGCGGAAGAACAGAACTTTCCTGCCCACTGCACTGCCAAAAAAATGCTTCTCCTGGAGTATAGGGGACCCTAAGGAATGGGGGTTTTTTTTTTGTTGAAGCAGGAACTGGTAGAGATTGATTATTTAATCAGGATCTAACCCACAGACAGGAAGAGAAAGGCTGAAAAGTGCTTCAATTGGCATGTGTGAATTTGGCCCAAAAGAATGAGCTGG